AAAAAGAGGACCTAAGAAGCTGCCACCTATACCAATAGCGATAACATTTGTCAATGCTTTTCCTGTTGCTCCAACCTACCAATATGTACCCATTAGTAACACTTAATGCAACACTGGGCTCTATTAGATGGTAATAAACAACTGAACCTTACCCAAGAACCACTGCGCACCCTCTCAGAAAAATCCCGGATCTTGTCCAGAACATTCCAAACATCTGGGACGACATTCTTTCCATTGCTGTTTATAACTGCATCTCTTGGAGCACGAAGAGCTACATGAAGGACAGACCTGTTCTCCGTGCTGTTTATCTGAATGTGCCACAGAAAACAATATCAAAGAATAAAATGATCATGATATCATAATATTTGAGCAGTATGTCAGCTTTACCATAAACGTAACTTATCATAAACAGTTCTAAATTGCTGCCTGATCAAATGCCAAGATCAGGACACTAACTATTCAAAGTGGTGCCTCTTGATTAAGCATTGCATCAGGATTCAGGAAACTATATAAATCCGTTTACAGAAGTTCATGTATGATTGGAAGAAGAAAGTAAAATCCTGCTTACCCGCTCCCCATTAAACATCTTGTTAATTTTTTCTTTAAGACACGCAGCCTGCATTATGACACAAGGAAGCACAATTAAAATATATATACTGTTTCATACGCCCAAAAGAGTAACTGTCCAATGTACCTCTGCCAACTTGAATAGCTTATTCATTGTTTCAAGAGTGGCACACTGCCTCGAGTAGATCTCCTTGACGAATCTCTCCCAACTTTAAAGTTAATTCGAAAACTTGAGATTGATTTCCTAGGTCAGAATACATCTGACTAACATTATCCCACAATTCTTGTGCAGTAGTATAGCACATGTAATTAGAGCTTATATCCTCCTCCATGGAATTGACCAACCATGTCATAACCATGGAGTTTTCAGCGTCCCAACTGTCGAACAGCGGATCATTAACAGCAGGAGCCTTCTTGTCACCAGTGATGTAACCGATCTTTCCTTGCCCACGAATATACATCCGGACAGATTGTGACCAGCGGAGAAAATTATCACCATTTAGGCGGATGGTGGTGATTTGGACAGAGTGAGAGTTGGACGTTTTCACCGGAATGGCAGCGGCAGGGGTTGAAGTGGTTCCGGACGTGACTTCCGACATGGCTATGACGGTTTTAGGGCTGCTGTGTTTTTTGTTGCTCTGATACCAACTTAGAAAATATGAGGAAGAAAAACTCTGAAAATATGAGGAAGAAAGAATATATTTCTGTTATATTTAAAACTTCTTATCTTGCAAGACCAAATGACACTCCTTATATAGGAGATATTACAAACATCATTATAACCCATTATATGCCACTTACATATTATACTATCTTCACCAACACCACTATCATATTCTATACATGCCACTATCTTCACCAACACCACTATCATATTCTATACATGCCACTATCTTATTCTATACATTAACACAAATTTCCAGCAGTAATGAACTTGGCAAAATGAACTCCAATAGACTGATCTGCATAATTATTAATCCAAGTAATAATCTTGGCATTAGTAACCTGCCAAGTAGAGAGCAATTCTTGAGATTTTTCAACATTGGCATTAGTGGGCATAGGAGAATCACCAGGAATAACATCCCAAACATTTTTACCCGAAACAAAATTTTTCATGACATAGGCCCAATAAACATAATTATCCCCCAGTAACTTCACACTAATGGCTTGAAGTGAATCTGACATTCCACTAGACATGATATCAAGAATACAATTAGTAAAGAACATCACAGGGCAAATCTAAAGTTCAGCAACAGCCCCAACAATTTGCAATTACCAAAGCAAGTCACAAGACCAAAGAAAATTCTCGACAAGGTTTGCAATTAGGAAGTAAGTCACAAGACCACAAAGAAGTCACAAGAGACAGCAACACAAAGAAAAAGGGAAGCTAAAGCAGAGTACCGGTTGCAAGAGCCACACCTTCAAACCAAAACGAGCCAATATCAGTTGCGACTAGAAGAACCAAACGCGACTATGATAATATGCTAACACAATTTGCAATTACCAAAGCAAGTCACAAGACCAAAGAAAATTCTCGACCAAATCAATTACCCCAAGGTTTGCAATTAGGAAGTAAGTCACAAGACCACAAAGAAGTCACAAGAGACAGCAACACAAAGAAAAAGGGAAGCTAAAGCAGAGTACCGGTTGCAAGAGTCACACCTTCAAACCAAAACGAGCCAATATCAGTTGCGACTAGAAGAACCAAACGCGACTATGAGATGAGAGGGAGAGTCGTGACTTCGCGAGGCACAAACGCAATTGTGAGATGAGAGAGAAAGTCGTGACTTTGTGAGGCACAGACGAGCCCACTCGACTTCGATGCAGGAGTGTATAGCGGCAAACAAAGAGAACAAACCACAAGCCTGCCTTCAGTTCATACTCCAATAGCATCTCCAACACCAATGGGATCCTTCTAGGTTAGCTATGAAAACCTGACTCTGGTACCATGAAAACTTAGTTAGGAACTAAGTATCATATTATTTCGTTGAACCAAAAAGGAATTACAAGAGAAATATATATAAGTCAACTATGCTAACCCTAATTGCTAACAATTACTAAACTACACTTAATATACAATGACTAAACTACCCTTAAGAATAAAATACACATATGCTTAACATTGATCACCCTCCATATTTTGTTAAACCTGACTTGTATGGCAATTAATGTGGGATGGCTACCCCATGATGTGTGGCCCACTTGTTTATAAACAAATAAATTAGATTCCTTTTGCAACAAATTAAAAAATAAATGCAGAACAATGATGATTTGTTTTAAAGTGATTCAGTCTTATTTGCACCCCTGGGGATTGACATCGTTTTGTACAACTGTTGTTTTGATGCAAATGTAACGTTCTCAGGTTTTAAGGAATTGCAGATCAATTTCAAAATTTGGGTTTCCATTCAAGTCTATGGTTGCCACTGGTGGTTTTCGACAGAGAACTCAATCGGAAAGTCTTCAACAGAACTTAGATGTGTTGATAGTTACACCTGGTCGTTTTATGTTTCTAATTAGAGAAGGCTTATTGCAGTTGACAAATCTTAGATGGTAACTATTTTCCCCTTGAAATTGATGTGTTTGCTTTCTCATACATAGGCATGAATAATGAACTCAAATTGTGTAGCTTGCATTTTTCTGGATTTTTAAGCAACGGGATCCTGTCTTCACCTACATTATTTTTATTGTTTTATGTTTATTTTTGTGTGCTTTTCTAGTTTTTTCTCATCCCAAAGGTTTGTCAAAGCCAGCAACTCTGTTCTCATTCTTGTCATTATCATAATCATGGTTAATATTGTCCCTCTAAGGACCCTAGCAGCTTAGGTAGCATTCCCTCAATAAAGAGATTCAACTTTGAGTCTCCTTGACTTACCTGTAAAGCAATAATCATGGTTTATATTGTGATGGCGTTATGGTTGTTAAGGCTAAAGAAATCCTCTTTTGCAGTTCAAATAAATAAAAAAGAGTAAAATAAGATTTAAAAAATGGTGTTAGGATGTAGAAGTTGGAATTTGAAGTCCAGGCTGAATGAGAGATAAGCACCACCAGGCAGGAAAACTCGTGGATAGATCCTGAATTCTTATGGTTGGGGAAGCTATACCATAAACTTATACATGTATTGTCCTTGTGTAGCCATAGTAGCATTGCAATGTCCCCAACTGACACCGATTCACCTTGTGTTGTCAGATATGGTTGTGTCATTTAAAGCAAGCTTATTTTAATACATGTAATATTCAGGACATTTGTACACTGCACACAAATTTTCTGCACTGGTAGATTTGTGAAGTTTCATTAATTTGCAGATTTAACCACCCACTTGTGGATATTCCAATATGTTGATTTGAATTAAGCTTTCTAATCATGATTTTCCTCCTGGTCAGATTTTGGTTTCCAAAACCCGTCATGATGGCCTCAACTGCTTCTCTCCCTCAACTGCACTACTACATACTACATCCCCCCCCTCCCCCCCCCCCCCCCCCTGCGCGGCTACTTTTAGTGATAGATGTCATCTGTTAGTATCTTTGTTGTCAATATTAATTTAAAACTCATGTTGCAGTGCCGTGTTGGATGAAGTAGATATACTCTTGAACAATGAGGAATATGAGCCAGCATTGCAAAGTTTAATTAAATCTTCACCTGTTACCACTCAATATCTGTTTGTGACTGCCACTTTACCAACCGACATATACAACAAGCTAGTTGAAGTTTTTCCTGATTGTGAAGTGATCATGGGACCCAGTATGCACCGTACAAGCCCTAACCTTGAGGAGGTTGGTTTTCTATTTTGTTTTTGGAATTATTGTCAAGGTCAAGGTTGATTGGTATTTTGATTAGGGATTGTCCTCCCCAAGTGATTGTAGTGTGTTTGTGACTTCTTATTTTGTAATTTTTTTAACAATAAAATATTTCTTACCTATCAAAAAAAAAAAAAATAGAGAGAGAGAGAGAGAGAGAGAGAGAGAGAGAGAGAGAGAAAGAGTAAAGGAAAAATAAAAAGAGCAATTACTTTGTTTGGTTTTGAGTTTTCAAAAACAGTTTATGAGTTTTTTGTTTTTCATGTTTTGTTGTCTTTAGTGAACTTTATTTATTTATTTTATATTTTAGTGATTTTTTTAATTTAATTTTTTAGATGCACCTAATTTAAATGTACTTAAAAAGTAAAATATTTGTGAAAAAATCTTAAAAAATTTCACTAAATACAAAAGAACACAAAAATTACCTTTTGAATGTATCTAAAAAAGTAAAAATTTTGATTAAAATATTTTTAAAAATTCAGTAAATACCAAAAAAATACAAATTGAAAACTTGAAAATTGTTTTTGAAAAGTATCTTGGCACACCAGTACCTTAGGTGGGACTATATGTGAACTTTAATTTCACAATGTTGCACAAGGAAAGTTCGCCTACATTGACTATTTTGGCAGTGTGTCCAACAGAAGTTCTTCATGTTGTTGGCATGATAATTTTTTTTTGATAATAGACATTAGAGCACGTGACTCGGGTACCAACATGTTCAGGTTGTTTGTTCAGATTCTTGTAGATTGCAGTGGAGATTATGGAATAGAAAAGACTCCAGATACAGCATTTCAGAATAAGAAATTGGCTCTTCTGCGGCTTGTGGAGGAAAGTCCAGTGACCAAAACGATTATTTTTTGTAACAAGGTAAATTTGCACCAACTAAACTGAATGAAATTTTAACATTTCTTTTTTGATCTTTTGAATACTATTGCTCTATATTAGTATTGGCATCTTCTATATGCAGATTGAGACATGCAGAAAGGTTGAAAATGCATTGAATCGAGTTGATAGAAAAGGGATCCAGAGTAGAGTTTTGCCATTTCATGCTGCTTTGGCACAGGAAGCACGACTTGCAAATATGGAAGAGTTCTGCACTTCTAAATCGAAGGACAACTCTCTGTTTTTGGTTTGCACTGATAGGTATATATGCTCTTTTTTTAAAAGAAAGCTTATATTTTGTGCTTTTATTCATCTCGAGTGTTGCTGGGTGTGGAGATTTGGAGCGGTGATTACCCTTTACCATAACAAGATTTTTCTGAAATTGATTACAGAGCATCAAGGGGTATTGACTTCACCAGTGTTGATCATGTTGTACTGTTTGATTTTCCACGGGATCCAAGTGAATACGTACGCCGTGTTGGAAGAACTGCTAGAGGCTCTGAAGGAAAGGGAAAGGCATTCATATTTGTGGTAGGCAAGCAAATTTCTCTTGCACGAAGGATAATTGAAAGAAATAGAAAAGGCCATCCGTTGCATGATGTGCCGCTTGCATTCGTATGAATTAGTTTTAGAATGTGCTGTACTTTGCATGTAAAAAAGATAAATTGATTGAGCTTAAGCTTGTTAAGCTTATAATTTTGAATTAAACGAAGGTAGTCCCATGTAATTGGCCCATATTTCCTTTCACTGTTTTGAATTTGTTTTGTGCTCATTTTGCTCCCACATAACTTGCTTCTTCTTCTTTGGCTTTTGTTTTTAATTCGCTGTTCTTTCTATTGATGAGTCTAATGTTGAATTCCATTTGGAAATTTGAAATTTCATGTTCTGTCATTTACATGTAAATGCCATCTGATAATATAATGCACCATTCTTTATTTTCTTTGTGGTTTAAATTGTATTGGAGTCTGCTTCTTTTGATGGCCTAAATTAATAATATTACTATTAGATCTGAATTTCTGTTGGAAACTAGTCTTCATTTGCAAATGAGCTGTAATATGGATTTTAGTTCCCCCCCCTACATAAATTCTTGATTCATGAGAGTTCAACATTCTTAATTCCTACCTCAACACAACCACTACATTGCTGCCGCTGTAATCACCACCACCACTGTCATTATGGACCGTGCCACATTAATGTATGTGGTGTCAATCGACACCATTGGATTTTGGATTGCCATTGAAAAAAGATTAGTGTTATATTTATAGTTAAAAGTGAAGTCGTGTCATGGACCGAACCACATTGATGTATGTGGTGTCAATCGACACGATTGAATTTTGGATTGCCACTGAAAAACGATTTATTTATATTTATAGTTAAAATTGATAGTATCACTTCACTGCAAAGAGTTCAAACAAAAAATTTTAACGTCTCAATCTATTTGGTTATGAAGTTAGTTTTTCTTTCAAGTTATGTTTAGATTTTAAATTTTGGTAGATATGTATAAAAGGAAAAGAAAAATGAAGGGAAATATGCAAAAATAAATTAGCTCGTGTTTCATTCACTTATTCATTTTATTTATTTTTCTCTCTTACAAATCTCTTCCTAAATCCAATATTAGACATCTTTAAGTTACGAAGAGTGTTTGAATGTTGATCATGTGGCAATAAGCGTGTTTGCATTAGGGAAGATTGGTAAAAAAAAATCTTGTTCACATCATTTAGTAATATAAAAAGATATGTAATATCTTTCCACTATACCAACAAAATATATATTGATCAATACATAAAAATTTAACATAAAGTTTAACTGGTAATTTTGTTAATAGTGAAAGTATTAACAATTCATGAGATTAGTCTAGGATTAATTATCCAGTTAGATTAATAAGATAAATAATTTTGTTTTTTCTACGTTTTATTTTGCAATGGATATGAAAGTATATCATTCTAATTATATATTTGTTTTGCATTATTAGTTATAAAATTAAAAATATATATATTATTTACACAGAGACCCCTAAACTATTGAAAAGTATCACTTTGATTCTAAACTAAATAGACGTGCAAATAGACCCTGTCTAAAATGTTGACATGTTTCAATTTAACCTCCTACACTATAAAAGTGTACAAATAGTTTAACTTTTGACGCAGTAATGAAAATGGTCAAATTGAAACATGTCAATACTTTAGGAGTCTATTTTCATACTTTTATAGTTTAGGAATCAAAGTGATACTTCTCAATAATTTATAAGCTCTATTTATACGCTTTTATAATTTAGAAATCAAATTGATATTTCTCAATAATTTTTGAGGTTTCTGTGTAAATAATCCTTTAAAAAAATCTGCAAATTTCTTAATATAAAATGTCCATCAAAATGTAATCTAAATAACAAAATTTACAATCAAACAATAAAATATGAGTCTTATAAATTAATAATCCTAATCCTATACTATAATCAACGTAATCAAACACACCTTATGAGTCCTACACATTAGTAGTCTCAATCTTATAATATAATTCGCCGAAACTTATAAGTTGGTTTTTAAACTTTTTTTTAGCATTTTTTGAAAAAACGTATAACAATGTGAGAGATGATATTACTCAAAATAAGTTAAAAGTCAAAAAATGACTTTTAACTATCTTTCAAAAATAGCCTAAACCTAACTCAACTAGGATTTGGGGTGTCTGCTGCGCCCCCTCACAACAGGCACTGTTGTGCGGCCCTATGGGCTTATTTCAGGATTCGTTTTAATAATCCAAACCGTTCACATTTTAGAATGCATCGAGTAGAACATACCTGCAACAAATTAAGTTAATCGGATACCGTTAACTTTTTCATCCAGTCACATTTGTATCTTCAAAAATAAATGATATTGTGATTTAAAGTATTAAAATGAATACAAATGTGAGTGGATGAAAGGGTTAACGATATCCGATTAACTTAATTTTTTATAGGTATGTTCTACTCGATGTACTCTAAAATGTGAACGGTTCGGATTATCAAAACGGACTCCGAAATAAGTCCATAAGGCCGCACAGTAGTGCACATCATAGCAGGCACCTTAAATCTACTCAACTCCAGGCACTAAATCAATAGAGAACTCAATCTCTCGGTGAGGTGATAAACTAGTAAGATCATCGGGAAAAACATCAGGGTATTTACAAACCATCCTTGGCAACTCAACTTAGACTTCATCACCCTTACCACTCAAGAAGCTCGCAAGGAGGCAACTTAAGTTCACTCCGTCCACGCGGATCATATACCGGTGATAAGACTCTATCCACCCAGTCCCCCAAACTAGGATTTGGGGTGTCTGCTGCGCCCCCTCACAATAGGCACTGTTGTGCAGCCCTGTGGACTTATTTCAGGATTCGTTTTGATAATCCAAACCGTTCACATTTTAGAATGCATCGAGTAGAACATACCTGCAACAAATTAAGTTAATCGGATACCGTTAACTTTTTCATCCAGTCACATTTGTATCTTCAAAAATAAATGATATTGTGATTTAAAGTATTAAAATGAATACAAATGTGAGTGGATGAAAGGGTTAACGATATCCGATTAACTTAATTTTTTATAGGTATGTTCTACTCGATGTACTCTAAAATGTGAACGGTTCGGATTATCAAAACGGACTCCGAAATAAGTCCATAAGGCCGCACAGTAGTGCACAGCATAGCAGGCACCTTAAATCCACTCAACTCCAGGCACTAAATCAATAGAGAACTCAATCTCTCGGAGAGGTGGTAAACTAGTAAGATCTTCGGGAAAAACATCAGGGTATTTACAAACCATCCTTGGCAACTCAACTTGGACTTCATCACCCTTACCACTCAAGAAGCTCGCAAGGACGCAACTAAGTTCACTCCGTCCACGCGAATCATATACCGGTGATAAGACTCTATCCACCCAATCCCCTAAGAAGTAGAAACATTCTCCGCTTAGGGTGCATACAGTAACGCTTTGACGGTAGCAATCTATAATAGCCTGATATGACAATAACCAGTCCATACCCAAAATAACATCAAAACTAGACATATCTATCAACACAAATGCAAAAAGAAGTCGGTGACCGGCAACCTCTATGTCAGAAACCCGACACCCCTGCTTCAAAACAACCTCACTACCAATAGGTGACTTTACACAGATAAGAGATACTAACTAAGCCAACTCTAACTCTAAAATCGACACGAATGCAGACGAGTTAAATGAATGGGATGCACCCATATCAATCAACACATTAGTAACTAAATTGCAAAAGAAGAAAGTTCCTCTCACAACAAAAGGCGCTGGTACTAGATCCGGCGCAATAACAGCATACACACGCCCGTAGGTCTCTGCTCAACTTGCTCACCCCTCGGAGCATAAACTTGATGTACTGACTGAGCCGAAGAGGCTTCCTGATTGGCCCTCGAGCCCTGTGCTGACTGTGTAAGCTGGTGGCTCTGTGCCTATCTTGAACCAAACGCACCGGGTGTGCCACCCAACTGTGGGCAAAATCTCTTCAAATGCCTTGCCTGCCCACACTGATAACAAGTAAGCGGTTGCCCTCTCCCCTGACTCTGGCCCTGTGAACGAGCCGAAGACTATGCAGACCGTTACCCTTCCCCTCTCTGCGGGCAAGTTGGAGACTTATGGCCCAGCTGACCACACTTGTAACCTGTAACATCTTCCTGACGACTCCTCCCAGAATCTAGACTCGGTACTGGAAAAGTAGACCTCGACTGAGTTTCCTGGGACGACTAGGGGTTAGAACCCCTCTGGCTTTTATTGTCCCCCTGACTGTCCTAACTCCTCATGAAACTCCTCATTCTTTCCTCCTCCATCTGCATAATGGTCTCAAGATGGGCCGCCGCCTCCAAAAGGGGCCTATAATCTCTAATCATGGATTCAGCCACTCTGAACAATGCTCAATGCAATGAATGATAAATTAGTTTCAATTCTCTTAATTCTCATGCATTTTCTACAACAATCATAGCTATCCTTCATCGATAGCCCAAAACAAATATCTCTAAACAGATAAATAATTTTCATAAAGACACTTTCTGAAAATTTCAAGATGGGAATGATAATACATATCCAACTCCACCATCATCATCAACATCAATCCAATTCCATATTTCCAACATCAATTCTTATTTGTCATTACCAAAATCAACATTTGAAATTCTTAGGGAAAAACCCACTTTTCTTTATAATTCAATCCCAAGGGTAAAATCATGTAACGCCCCAAATAAATACAATGAATCCCAACTCATAAGCGGAAGAATAATAAAAGCAATATACTTTCATTCATCAGAGTCCGTATACAAAAGGTGACACATGCAATATACATTCATAAATGGCTAATCCTAAATCTATAGCATGTGTTACAAGTGATAAAGAAACGAAAGTTAACAGATCTACACATGCCCTAATGGCTTATATTTTTCCAAGGCCGTGCTTGGTTGCAACAAAATGGATATAAATCCAATACATATAAAGCCCTTGGCTAGAATTAAAACAATTAGCACGATACAAAAAGAGAAGCCTTCAGCTCCTTTCCCTCCTAAGCTATTGCCTTGGCGGAGGCATCTCACCAGCACCTAAAAATGATTTTTCCCAAGTAGGATGAGCCAAAGCTTAGTAGAAACAATCTAACACAATATATGAGCCTTAACAAAGGTATAAGTACAATGTGCATATATAATGCTTGTGACAAATCATTCATATTTCCGCAAGATCATAAAGTACAAAATTTTATATCTCAATCCATTTCAAGTCAATTCATTTCATCTCAACTCATGAGCCAATTTTATTATTTTCCAAACAACTCAACCGAGACTACAACTCAGTGGTTCTCTAATCAACACAACAATCACACAAACACTTCAATTTGCCATTTTAAGTAAATTTCATCAGCGAGAGTCGGCACCCATGTATACACGCGGTTTCAGGATTTTCACCCTAGACACACAGGCCAACTTAATTTAATGGAGTTCATCCCCTTTCTCTTCCCTAAACATGGAGTATATCCCCTTTCTCCTCTCAAATGCCATACATATACAATGTACTCAAATCACAGTCATATTCAATGACAACTAACAAGAAATTAATTTCAATTGAAAAAGACTCATGTCATCTCATAGTAAACCTATTTCATATTCATATAAATGAAATCAAAACCATAAAGAAACACAAACAATTACGCCCAACTTCTCTGCACTACTCATTCAGTTGTCCATAAAGAAATTGAAGGGAAAAAAAATTCAATCAACACTATATAAACAAACCTGCTATAAGAAATGAGTAAATTTAACAATATTAGAAATGAGTAAATTTATTTCAGTAACTTACAAATAAAGAAATTAAATTTAAAAAAATTTCACAAACTAAAAACAGATTGAACAATTTAATTCCCAATGGAAGCCAAGCATCCTATTAAAGAATTAGGATACCTTTAATGGGTTAACATGGTGTCTGGGCAAATGACTTCTTCATATCAGCACCGCTCTTGTATTTTCATTAATTTTTTTTCTTTTTCTTTTCTCTTTGAACAGTCAATCGTGGAGCTGGTATAGAATGTTTGAATTTGTCTGTAAATACATACACACATATAGACCATCTCTTCTGGCAAAAAAACCACCTATTTCCACTGTATTCATCATGGGTACACTAATTCTTATGTTACTTTTCCTTTCTTCTTCTTCCCTTCCACATCGGTTCCTGCGTTCTACGTGTTTGGAGATTCAATTGTTGATGCAGGAAACAGCAACAACATTGAAGATGATATCAAGGCAAACTTTTACCATTATGGTGTCGACTACAACAATCAATCCACCGGCCGTTTTACAAACGGATTAACTGCCGCCGATTTCATGGGTAACTACTATTTTCAAATTTCTTTGAGTTTTGACTTTTGTTCGACTAAAACACCAATACACAACCTTCGTAGCAAAAACAAAACTCGAACCCCCCAAAACTCAAAAAAACTTGAAAATAGTAGTTACCCATGAAATCAGTGGCAGTTAATCCGTTGGTAAAACGGTCGGTGGATTGATTGTTGTACTCGACGCCATAGGGGTAAAAGTTTGCCTTGATACCATCTTCAATGTTGTTGTTGTTTCCTACATCAACAGTTGAATCTCCAAACACGTAGAACGCAGGAACCGACGTGGATGCTTGAGTCATGAGCGGAAGGGAAGAAGAAGAATGGAAAAGTAACACGAGATGGTCAGAATATAGTGGGAATAGGTGATTTTTTTGTCAGAAGAGATGGTCTGTATTTATAGACAAATTCTAACATTCTATACCAGCTCCACAACTGACTGTTAAAAGAGAAAAGAGAAAGAAAAAGAAAAAAATTTAATGAAAATACAACAGCAGAGTTGATAGGAAGAAGTCATTTGCCAAGACTATATTGTAATTCTGATAGGTGAAAGTGAATGGGAGATCGGTTGTGATGTGATTGGCACTGCATGCCTTAAAGTGCTTTGCTGCTAATTGACACCCTCACCCATCAAGATGGGTAATTTGGTTCACATTTTAATTGATACTCTTACAGGGGATCAAGGTGGCAGCTGGACTGGTCACTAGTGACTAAACTAGGCATACAAACATATGATAGTTTGTTTTATAAAATGAACATTGTAGTTTAAAATTATATTTACCACTCATTTTATAAAATAAAATATGATTAAATAGTGTCTATCAATGTTCAATCAAACTAATTTTTTGGTATATATATACATATATTTTCGAGACCGACGAGATGAACGATTTAGATTATTGTTGTAAGCCCAATGGGACTCACAAAGTGGACGATGATGGAGTCTTGAGGGAAGCTTCTCTCAGTATATATATGTATGTGTGCGTGCGAGTTTGCAAAGAAACCATTAATGGAATCAGACATAGGTAAATCTCGTAATGTGTGGGGCACATTTTTTTTGAGAGTTGTGTTCAATTCTACGCAGCAGAATAGTACTCTTTCTGTCTAGAGCAATCACAGTAGCCATCAAAACAAATTCTTAATTTTCACAGCATGTAAAATGAAACAATAGATAAGCAACAAATTATTAACAAATCCATTAATGGAAGGGAGACCAATTACCTAATCAACCATTGTAGCAAACAAAATCGCAACAACTTTTTATGAGCTAACCAAACACTACTTCAAGCCAATGCATATGAACCTGAAACAAAAGGAAGAATAGAAAATATAAGTAACCAAGCTCCATTATCCAAAATCAACCCCCTAAAAATTGCCCACTGTTTGTTATTAAAAATAAGATAAAACTCCCACTGTTTGATTCACCAATTTGAATATACCTGTTTCATAGAGGGGCCAATTTGAGAGAGAATAGACAAATGCATGCTCTTTACAACTATCAATTAGTAACCAAACAAATGTGACATTTCAATCCACAAATGTGAGTGCCAAAAAGCATGAAAAATCATTTCTATGAACATATGAAGAAGCAAACCAAGCTGAAGGTAATAAATAGCAATTAAGCACAATCACTGTTTCAACTTTCCATATTGAGTGACAATTTTGAACATGAAAGATCCATTCATAGAAAAAGACCTATCTCATCTTAGAGCAGAAAAACAAATAGAAGTCACCCATAGAAACTCATTTCATTGAAAAAGACTTACGTCATCTCATAGTAACCTATTTCACATTCTTATAAATGAAATCAAAACCACAAAGAAACACAAGCAATTATGCCCAACTTCTCTGCACTCCTCTTTCAGTTGTTCATAAAGAAATTGAAGGAAAAAAAATTCAATCAACACTACATAAACAAACCTGCTATAAGAAATGAGTAAATTTAACAATATTAGAAATGAGTAAATTTATTTCAGTCCCAAAATTAAATTTAAAAAAATTTCCCAAACTAAAAACAGATTGAACAATTTAATTCTCAATGGAAGCCAAGCATCCTATTAAAGAATTAGGATACCTTTAATGGGTTAACATGGTGTCTTGGCAAATAATTTCTTCCTATCAGCTCTGCTCTTGTATTTTCATTAAATTTTTTTCATTTCCTATTCTCTTTTAACAGTCAGTTGTGGAGCTGGTATAGAATGTTAGAATTTGTCTACAAATACATACATACATACAGACCACCTCTTCTAGCAAAAAAACCACCTATTTCCACTGTATTCATCATGGGTACACTAATTCTTGTGTTACTTTTCCTTTCTTCTTCTTCCCTTCCGCTCATGACTCAAGCATCCACATCGGTTCTTGCGTTCTACGTGTTTGGAGATTCAACTGTTGATGCAGGAAACAACAACAACATTGAAGATGGTATCAAGGCAAACTTTTACCCTTATGGTGTCGACTACAACAATCAATCCACCGGCCGTTTTACAAACGGATTAACTGTCGCTGATTTCATGAGCAACTACTATTTTCAAGTTTCTTTGAGTTTTGTTCGACTAAGACACCAATACACAACCTTCATAGCAAAAACAAAACTCGAACCCCCCAAAACTCAAAGAAACTTGAAAATAGTAGTTACCCATGAAATCAGCGGCAGTTAATCCTTTGGTAAAACGGTCGGTGGATTGATTGTTGTGGTCGACGCCATAAGGGTAAAAGTTTGCCTTGATACCATCTTCAATGTTGTTGTTGTTTCCTACATCAAAAGTAAAAACTCCAAACACGTAGAACGCAGGAACCGACATGGATGCTTGAGTCATGAGCGGAAGGGAAGAAGAAGAAAGGAAAAGTAATACAACAATTAGTGTACCCATGATGAATATAGTGGGAATAGGTGATTTTTTTGTCAGAAGAGATGGTCTGTATTTATAGACAAATTCTAACATTCTATACCAGCTCCACGACTGACTGTTAAAAGAGAAAAGAGAAAGAAAAAGAAAAAAATTTAATGAAAATACAAAAGCAGAGTTGATAGGAAGAAGTCATTTGCCAAGACTATATTGTAATTCTGAAAGGTGAAAGTGAATGGGAGATCGGTTGTGATGTGATTGGCACTGCATGCCTTAAAGTGCTTTGCTGCTAATTGATACCCTCACCCATCAAGATGCGTAATTTGGTTCACATTTTAATTGATACTCTTACAGGGGATCAAGGTGGCAGCTGGACTGGTCACTAGTGACTAAATTAGGCATACAAACATATGATAGTTTGTTTTATAAAATGGACATTGTAGTTTAAAATTATATTTACCACTCATTTTATAAAATAAAATATGATTAATTAGTGTCTATCAATGTTCAATCAAACTAATTTTTTTGTATATATATGCATATATTTTCGACACCGACGAGATGAACGATTTAGATTATTGTCGTAAGCCCAATGGGACTCACAAAGTGGTGGATGATGGAGTCTTGAGGGAAACTTCTCTCAGTATATATATATATATATATATGTATGTGTGCGTGCGAGTTTGCAAAGAAACCATTAATGGAATTAGACATAGGTGAATCTCGTAATGTGTGGGGCACATTTTTTTTGAGAGTTATGTGTTCAATTCTACGCAGCAGAATAGTACTCTTTATGTCTAGAGCAATCACAGTAGCCATCAAAACAGATTCTTAATTTTCACATGTAAAATCAAACAATAGATAAGTAACAAATTATTGACAAATTCATCAATGGAAGGGAGACCAATTACCTAATCAACCATTGCAGCAAACAAAATCGCAACAACTTTTTATGAGCTAATCAAATACTATTTCAGGCCAATGCATATGTACCTGAAGCAAAAGGAAGAATAGAAAATATAAGCAAGCAAGCTCCATTATCCAAAATCAACCCCCTAAAAATTGCCCACTGTTTGTTATTAAAAATAAGATAAAACTCCCACTGTTTGATTCACCAATTTGAATATACGTGTTTCATAGAGGGGCCAATTTGAGAGAGAATAGACAAATGCATGCTCTTTACAACTATCAATTAGTAACCAAACAAATGTGACATTTCAATCCACAAATGTGAGTGCCAAAAAGCATGAAAAATAATTTCTATGAACATATGAAGAAGCAAACCTAGCTTAAGGTAATAAATAGCAATTAAGCACAATCACTGTTTCAACTTTCCATATTGAGTGACAATTTTTGAACATGAAAGATCCATTCATAGAAAAAGACCTATCTCATATTAGAGCAGAAAAACAAATAGAAGTCACCCATAGAAACTCATTTCATTGAAAAAGACTTATGTCATCTCATAGTAACCTATTTCACATTCTTATAAATGAAATCAAAACCATAAAGAAACACAAGCAATTATGCCCAACTTCTCTGCACTCCTCTTTCAGTTGTTCATAAAGAAATTGAAGGAAAAAAAATTCAATCAACACTACATAAACAAACCTGCTATAAGAAATGAGTAAATTTGACAATATTAGAAATAAGTAAATTTATTTCAGTACCAAAATTAAATTTAAAAAAATTTCGCAAACTGAAAACAGATTGAACAATTTAATTCTCAATGGAAGCCAAGCATCCTATTAAAGAATTAGGATACCTTTAATGGGTTAACATGGTGTCATGGCAAATAATTTCTTCCTATCAGCTCTGCTCTTGTATTTTCATTAAATTTTTTTCATTTCCTTTTCTCTTTTAACAGTCAGTTGTGGAGCTGGTATAGAATGTTAGAATTTGTCTACAAATACATACATACATACAGACCACCTCTTCTGGCAAAAAAACCACCTATTTCCCCTATATTCATCATGGGTACACTAATTCTTGTGTTACTTTTTCTTTCTTCTTCTTCCCTTCTGCTCATGACTCAAGCATCCACATCGGTTCTTGCGTTCTACGTGTTTGGAGATTCAACTGTTGATGCAGGAAACAACAACAACATTGAAGATGGTATCAAGGCAAACTTTTACCCTTATGGCGTCGACTACAACAATCAATCCACCGGCCGTTTTACAAACGGATTAACTGTCGCTGATTTCATGGGTAACTACTATTTTCAAGTTTCTTTGAGTTTTGTTCGACTAAAACACCAATACACAACCTTCATAGCAAAAACAAAACTCGAACCCCCCAAAACTCAAAGAAACTTGAAAATACTAGTTACTCATGAAATCAGCGGCAGTTAATCCGTTGGTAAAACGGTCGGTGGATAGATTGTTGTGGTCGACGCCATAAGGGTAAAAGTTTGCCTTGATACCATCTTCAATGTTGTTGTTGTTTCCTACATCAACAGTTAAATCTCCAAACACGTAGAACGCAGGAACCGACGTGGATGCTTGAGTCATGAGCAGAAGGGAAGAAGAAGAAAGGAAAAGTAACACAAGAATTAGTGTACCCATGATGAATATAGTGGGAATATGTGGTTTTTTTGTCAGAAGAGATGGTCTATATTTATAGACAAATTCTAACATTCTATACCAGCTCCACGACTGACTGTTAAAAGAGAAAAGAGAAAGAAAAAGAAAAAAATTTAATGAAAATACACGAGCAGAGTTGATAGGAAGAAGTCATTTGCCAAGACTATATTGTAATTCTGATAGGTGAAAGTGAATGGGAGATCGGTTGTGATGTGGTTGGCACTGCATGCCTTAAAGTGCTTTGCTGCTAATTGATACCCTCACCCATCAAGATGCGTAATTTGGTTCACATTTTACAGGGGATCAAGGTGGCAGCTGGACTGGTCACTAGTGACTAAATTAGGCATACAAACATATGATAGTTTGTTTTATAAAATGGACATTGTAGTTTAAAATTATATTTACCACTCATTTTATAAAATAAAATATGATTAATTAGTGTCTATCAATGTTCAATCAAACTAATTTTTTTGTATATATATATATATATTTTCGAGACCGACGAGATGAACGATTTAGATTATTGTCGTAAGCCCAATGGGACTCACAAAGTGGACGATGATGGAGTCTTGAGGGAAGCTTCTCTCAGTATATATATGTATGTGTGCGTGCGAGTTTGCAAAGAAACCATTAATGGAATCAGACATAGGTAAATCTCGTAATGTGTGGGGCACATTTTTTTTGAGAGTTATGTGTTCAATTCTACGCAGCAGAATAGTACTCTTTCTGTCTAGAGCAATCACAGTAGCCATCAAAACAGATTCTTAATTTTCACAGCATGTAAAATGAAACAATAGATAAGCAAAAAATTATTGACAAATCCATTAATGGAAGGGAGACCAATTACCTAATCAACCATTGTATTGTAGCAAACAAAATCGCAACAACTTTTTATGAGCTAACCAAACACTACTTCAAGCCAATGCATATGAACTTGAAACAAAAGGAAGAATAGAAAATATAAGTAACCAAGCTCCATTATCCAAAATCAACCCCCTAAAAATTGCCCACTGTTTGTTATTAAAAATAAGATAAAACTCCCACTGTTTGATTCACCAATTTGACTATGCCTGTTTCATAGAGGGGCGAATTTGAGAGAGAATAGACAAATGCATGCTCTTTACAACTATCAATTAGTAACCAAACAAATGTGACATTTCAATCCACAAATGTGAGTGCCAAAAAGCATGAAAAATCATTTCTATGAACATATGAAGAAGCAAACCAAGCTGAAGGTAATAAATAGCAATTAAGCACAATCACTGTTTCAACTTTCCATATTGAGTGACAATTTTTGAACATGAAAGATCCATTCATGGAAAAAGGCCTATCTCATCTTAGAGCAGAAAAACAAATAGAAGTCACCCATAGAAACTCATTTCATTGAAAAAGACTTATGTCATCTCATAGTAACCTATTTCACATTCTTATAAATGAAATCAAAACCATAAAGAAACACAAGCAATTATGCCCAACTTCTCTGCACTCCTCTTTCAGTTGTTCATAAAGAAATTGAAGGAAAAAAAATTCAATCAACACTACATAAACAAACCTGCTATAAGAAATGAGTAAATTTAACAATATTAGAAATGAGTAAATTTATTTCAGTACCAAAATTAGATTTAAAAAAATTTCGCATACTGAAAACAGATTGAAGAATTTAATTCTCAATGGAAGCCAACCATCCTATTAAAGAATTAGGATACCTTTAATGGGATAACATGGTGCATTGAAATGCTAAGAACAGCAGCTGCAAAATAAATAAATAAATAAAACAATCAAATAGCTCAAACTATTGAAATCCACCCACAAGCAAACTATGAAACCAACCTTTTGAATCCATTTAATTTGCTCATGGGAAGCAGCCAATCCATTGCCAGAACAAAACAAAAGAAAACAAAATTTAGATTTAAAATATATATATATATATTGATTCCCAATAGAAGCCATCGAAATCATCACATACTGTCAAAGACACACGCTCACACACAACATCACATAACATAACAGATTCCTGGGCAAAGACACACACACACACACACAACATCACATAACATAACAGATTCCTTCCAAAACTGAATCTAAATTCATCAGGTGGACTACAACCTCTTCCTCGAGAAGAGCAGCTGCTAAAAATAAATAAATAAATAAATAAAACAATCAAATAGCTCAAACTATTGAAATCCACCCATA